CTTTCTAAGTTTATCAGTCACCTGTGTATGCATGCTACAGGCTTCCACACAGAAAGTACTTTGTAAGTAGTAGCTTACACATACTGTAGTTTGTGGATACTGTTGGTATGTGAAAAAAAGGGCAAGTTTAATAAATTGCCATGTCATGTGTTAGTGATAAATCACTTACAGACATGACTATCTTTTCAGGTAGTGGACTGCTTGCTGATGTGGAAATATGAGATTTTTAGGATCAACTCAATTTTTCTGGGTAAAGCTGTGCTGGTTGGTCTCCTGAGCCTTGTACTGGGCTTTTTTTAGGACGTGTGAGGTTAGCACTCCAGTTAGGAGTGAACTGAAAAGATATCCCTTGTTGTCCACCACACTCAAGACCTAAGTTTATTTTATTTGTCTTGTGTGTTGCAACACTAGTATTTGTGATACTTCTTACGAGGAGCTGCATGGAACAAGCAATTACTCAGGAAAGGGGCTGCACATAAGCCTTAAAACCACCTATCTCTGAATCCATTCTGTGAGGACTTATTCTTACTCTGGTGTGAGTACATACATAAAGTTTTCCAAGAATGCCTTCTTGTTAGTTTAAGGTGTTATTATTAGTATGTAAATGATCCGATTGTTGTTTGTATCAAGCCATTTGTATCAGTCTTGTGAAGCTAATGTTTCCTTTTCTTTAGGACACTCATCGAACACTTCATTTATCTTTTTTTTGTAGATTTATGCTGGTTTTCTAGCCTAATTTTAGAAGATAATTTTACAATGAATGGCTTTTTAGAATCTAACTGGTGCTTTAACGACTAGTAAGTAATTGAAGCATTTTTTAATGCATTTCAAAATGCATAAAAATTATCTTTGTAAAAGTGGAATCCATTTCACCAAAGGAATTTCCCTATGAAATCTCTCCTTAAGAAAGTGCTGTGACCTTTGTAATGGTAACAACTTAACTATGTTTTTGATAGAGCATTATGAGGAAATATAAAATTGCATTTTGATTGTGACAAAGACTTYGGTGTTCCTAAAGCAGGCAATCTTAAATGAACTGTGGGAGAGAACACTTTGTCATATTTCTGGCATTTAGCATTGAAAAGGTGTTATTTTCTTCACTCCTACCTATTTTTGCTAAACAAATCTCATCTTAGGCTAATTGTACTAAGTGCCTTAAAGTATGGTCTATGCTGGATGGTTTTGGTTCTCATCTATGAAACTAAYTACTGCCCATGGGAATTCCATTTAAAAAAACATAGGCAGGGTAAAAGTGCATCTTTTATTTCTTTTATTTGGAATACTTTTTTTYCCCCCTTAATTTATTTTAAAAAATCATTTTCATCCTAAACAGCTCACCACAAACTTTCCTGTTAAAGGCTATGAATGAACTGGAAAACTAATTTCACTTAAATAGCTTTTTCATTACCCTTGTGGGTCCATGTGGACAATAGGTTTATAGTTCCTCAAGCAGTATTGCTCATCTTCTTAAAACAGAATTCCCAATGTTTGGGTAAAACTTAGGATAGATGGTCTCTTAGAAGAATGTTTGTTCCCCTGTCTGTTCAGAGGACCAGTGTTGATACTTTTTGCTGGGTGAGCTATCACAAAAATAYTGGAAAATAGTAGTGGATTCATCTTGTCCCCCACAAATCCTAAGGAGGTTTTCTTTCCCTGCAGTTTGGAAGGCAGAGTATGCTTGGACTTGATGAATTCTGTTTGTATTTCTGATGTATTATTTGTATTGGTGACTATCTGCTAATTCATAATTTAGTGTCTATTTATGTTTCTGGSACTGTTGTGTTAGTGAAGATTACTGTGGCTTAATTAAGAGCCGTTATTTCAAGTCTCTTTTGCTTTTGTTCTTGTTGCTTTAAGCCTTTCTGAAACTAGAGAACAAATTCCTGAAGAGCTGACTTGTAGTGTTTATTTGAAACCTTACTTATCCTTGTGGAAAAGGTACTGTTTTGAGAGACTCAGAACATTTTGAAAAACTTGCTAAATGTTGTGCTGACATACAAGGTGATTGTGCCAAGTTTCCCAGCTGAATTATCTGATGACTCTGACTTTTGCCTGACACATATTACACAGATTCTATGAATTCTATGTAATAAAAATGTAGTATCCTAGAGAGAAGTTACGCTCCTTAGCAACTAATTGCTACAGTTTCATTGATCCCCACTGATGCAAATTTAGGAATGGATTCTCTTCATTTTCATTCTAACCTTCCAAACCTTAGTGTTTAATTTTTCAAGTGCTTTTAGATTTTCCTCCTTCTGTTTTGCCAGGAAAACTAAGTTCTCCCTTTAAAGCATATTTGAGTATAACATTAGTGCTATTCCAGGAACTCGAGCTGTGATTAAAAATATAAACTTTTGTGAGATTTTGATGTGCGCTGTTATTGTTACTGTTTGTTTTTTTTTTCCTGCTCTGTGTGCTAAAACTAAATGTAGGCCATGATTTTAATGTTGAATTGAGAAAACATGATACTGAGCTGTGTGAACGTGACTCAGCCTTAATAAAAGGCTGAAATATTTAATAAAGGCTTTGAGTTAAAAAAAAATTAAAACTGTTGGATGCCAACCACTTTGCAATTTTATCAGCTTTTTCCAGTAATTTCATTTAATCTCAAATGGTACTTTACAGATTGCTAGATACTCTAGCTTAAGACTTTATTTTAAGAGGAGCAGAGAGTGGTTGGTTTATTTCTTCATTTCTTTCTTTATTTTTACAATTCTGTGAACAATTACAAGCATTTGAGAGGCAAACTGAAATGTTTTAGACTTCACAGTTTTATAATTAATCCAGTGTAAGTCAGTGTTGCTGCCGAAAGGGTCATACTGCTGCTGCTTTTGTGCTGACACAGGCAATTGCTGGAGAGCTGCTCTAGTTGAACACTAAGCAGGCTTTGCCAGGTTAGCATTCAGCCASAGCAATTTCTTGTTCCAGTTTGTTATGTGGTTGCACAAACTATAGTTCAGACAGAAGCAAAGGTGGAAATGAGCAGTGGCAGTGTAGTAAGAAGGGACTTTTTAACTGAAGCACCGGTTYATAGAGATGAAGTTGAAGCCACGTCCCCTGCATTTCTTGCTGACTTGCTTAGCCGTAAGACACTTTATTGTTGATTTCATGCTTTTTATGACAGTAAAGATAAACTGATGCAAGTTTTGTCCCTAAAGATGATAAGAGTTTCACAAGTAGCTATGGCTCTGGAGTAATTTCCTTGTTCTTCAGGAGACCCAGGCACTGAATACCTGACACATTGAATAAAGCTTTTACAATTCCTGTTGATGTTGCATCCATGTGTTTTAGGCGTAAATCCAATCAGTAAATAACTATCCCATGGCTTCCTCCTTTGCATGGAAGCCAAACTCTTCTATGTCTCTGTATGGATTGCYCTACAAAAGCTGTTAGCCAAAGTGTTTAGAGAGCATTGCAGTCACAGTGTGAAAATMACTATGGAAAAATATTTTAAAGGATGCATCTCCTTTCAGGTTTGAAAGAATTTGAAAAGTTGTTATTTCAGTGTAAGAAAATAAAAACTATAKTTGGAATGTAGAGGTACAACAAATTTGCATAAAGTTATTTCTCTTCCCCTCCTTACTTTGAGCTCATGCTACAGAAGCGTGCAGTATAGTGCTTGGCACCCAAATTACATAATCTTATGCTAAAATTTCTTAGTAAATATGCCAGATGGATAACTGATTTTTGCCTCAGATGAGTACTTAGTACAGTTATTATCAAAAGTCTTAGAAGTCTTGTATGCTCTGAAGATGGAAAATACCTTTTCAATATGATGTCAGTAGGAAAGAGTAGGATAAAAACAGGAGGGTAAATCAGATTGCAGGGAACAGGATTATACTGCCTTYACCAAATCACCTTTCAATTAGCAGAGGCCAGTGTTTCTGTAGTTACCAGAACTGGATATTCTAGGTACAAGAAACTTGTCAATTTTGGTGCACTTACTATTTTGGTAATACCCATGAACCACCACTCCTTGGTAGGTGGGACCTTGGCAGCTGTGGCAGTCTTGTTTTCAGAGATGGGAACCAGACTTCATTACTCATGAGCTTTTTAGACAGGATTCCCAGAAATCTGGTGATGTAATCAAGGGGATTTGATTGTGGTCCCTAGCTTCCTGCAGAGGTATAACAGTATTCAGGTTCATTGCTTGACTGCTACTGTTTAAATATGTCTTACTCAYGTTGTAAAAATAAAAGATTTAATGAGGTTTGGGTACTTCAAATAGTACTTGAGGTACTTTAGGCCGTCAGTGAGGTTTCTACAGAAAATTTCGTTTCATAGCTTTAACATCATATGCTTAGTGAACATCAGTGGTGTTGAGAGAACAACTCTTTTCAGATCTGGAATGTGCAGCTGAGCAGTGATGTGTACTGCCTGATCAGCTGATGAAATGTGGGTTTAGATGAGTGATTTTTATAAATGACTTCCAGATGTTACAGTTGCCAGCTGAATGTCTCAAGACTGCACTGTTAGGTCTAGGTTAGAAAACAAAACGGATGAAATGTGCAGAAGATAAACTAGTGAGCCTGTACCTGTAATTGTTCTCTCTCCATCAAAAGGAAGGAAAAGACTATGTGATTCTGTGGTCAAATTGCTCACAAGCAATGGCAAAAAAAAATGAATGCTTTTAGACTGGGATATCTACATTAATTTATAGCCTGTGAAGACCTTGGACAGTCTAATAGATCATACAAAGCTATTTCTCTGTAGCTGCTCTTTTAAAAACTTAGAGTTATTCTTTATCTGCCTTAAACTTCCTTGTGCTAAAACATGACTGCTATGGTGCTTGAACTAAAATCTGATTACCAGCAATATCTTTCAGTATCTTCTTTGAGCAGCAAAAATCAGAGTTTGTTTTGCAGTTTCCCTTGAATTTTCATGAATTCTCTGTAGAAGAATTCTGTTTGCAAATTTTTTTCCAAATCCTCATAATTATTGAGGGAAGGGTTTGAGTTTGAAAGCAGCGTATTTGATTTCTCTCTCTTTATTTTCCCCAGGAAGTACTGACATAACCATGATAGAAGACAAAGGTCCACGAGTGGCTGACTATTTCGTAGTGGCGGGGCTCACTGACACAGACACGGCAACCCTCCTGGACCAAGAAATAAGCAGACATGAAACAAAGTCGACAGGTCCCAAGGCTCCAATTACTGACATTGCTGTGATAATTAAATCAGCCGGTGAAACTGTTCCAGAGGGATACACCTGTGTTGAAGCCACCCCTACAGCCCTCCAAGCCAACTTAAACTATGGAAGTCTAAAGAGTCCTGAACTTTTTCTTTGCTACAAGAGAGGCCGGGACAAACCACCTCTTACTGACATTGGGTGAGATTTCTATTGCASTTCAGCCTCCTTCAATAATGATAAAATCTTGCTCTTCATAGATGATGTGAAAACGGATGTGAGAAAACTTTCTAAAAAGTACTGTTTGAMTCTGTATTGCTTATTTTTTCCTGTATAGAATAGGGTGAAAGTGTCAGTCTTCTAGTGAACTTGTCTTTTTAAAATTAATGATAACRTTTTAGTTTAAAAGATGGGAGAGAGAGATGAAGCTGATAAAATATTGGAAATTGAGTTCTCTGCTTCAGTTTTATGAAAAGTGATATAATAACACAGAATTGATATATAGAAATTATATAGTCCAAATTCAGAAACATTAACATGCTTAATATGAAAATTGCGACTTCRGAAGTCAAAAATATTGCTTTGTGGAATTTCACTTTAATGTTTATGGCAAAAGATACAACTTAAAAATACATAAGGACATTGTAGAAGTACTGGGGATATCATGAGAAAAAAATAGAGCRTGGTTGTGGGGTGCCATTACAATTATGCAAAATAAAGAATGTGTATGTTTCTCCCTACTTAGTTATTAAATAAGTAGTAAAGAGTAAAAATCATGCATTTATATGTATGCTATAATAATTTCAGTTGTTTTCATTTACAAGCTTAAGCACTTGGACATCAAGCCTACATACCCTGTTTTTGACCTACAGTTTGAGTGCTTACTGACAAACAGACCCAGTCAGGGAGAGACTGATAGTAAAATCTTAGTAATGACAGCAGCTCTCAGGGCAAGACAGTTCACTCTTAAGGGTTATACTGCAAGTTGTATAATGAACCTGATGCACACTTAATTTCTGTTCATCTTGGTCATCTAAACTGCGCTCTAATAGTCTTCAGTGAAACTCTGATTTTTAACATAATTATTTCCCATGTGTGTGACTGGCACTGCAGGAAGAGGTGTGAAGTTTYATTTTGAATGATTTGTTAAACTTCAGTAAGTTCTAACAGAAGGAAGAATTTCTACAGGGAGGGTTTCCTCAAAGAAATTCCTGAACAACCAGTCTTCAGCATGTGCCTTTAAGGAAGCAACTTGGCTAGCAYATGTTTATTTTCGTGTCTCCCACAACCTTAGGAGCTTGAATGCTTGTGTAGATTTCATAAACAAAGTAGGCAATTAGTTGGCTAAGATGGTGTTGTTTGGCACATAGTACTTATTTTGTGTTTTGTTGTATGCAGATCTAGTTAGGGTGTCACACCTAACACATCATGGCAGGCTTTTCTCTCTGAGCAATGATGCATATWTTCCCCCTTGCTGTTCCTCCTGCTTTGCAGCTATGTGCAAGAGGTGGTTAGAGCAATCTTTTTTTTGTGTGTATGTGTGTGAATTCCACTGTGTTTGAATGAAAGTGGAGTTTGGGCAAGAAATGCGTGTACAGTTCGAAGGCTAATTTATGCTGTTTTGTATTATATTATTAAAGAACCAGTGTGAAAGAATATTTTACCTTTGAGCCTGTCTGACATGGTGAATGAACTTAATATGTAGAGGTAGAGTACATCCTTTGAAAGGATGAAATGCATACTCTTGTGTCAAGGTTGTTAGTATRTGTGTAATACTGAGTTATGTCATGGTCGGAGCATTCAAGTGACTCTTGGTAAATGTTTGTGTCTGTCTGTGTATTTCTTTCAGTGTTATTTTTAGGGAAGGTTAAACAAATGCTGTTTGGAGAAGAGGGAGATAGGATATGCTCTGCTGTTTGTCTGGCACTGTCCTTGTGTTCAGTATTTCTGTGCCCCCTATCCTTGTTCCTTTATATTTGTCCACTGCTTGTTGAATCAGTGTCTAAGTTGCTAGAGGGAATTCCTGCTGCACTTACTCGCTTGCWTATAGTTAGGCCATGTGCCATGCCTCTGGATGTTGCATTTCCCAGAATTAATCAGATTAATTAGCTGGAAAAATAATTAGTYGGAAATTAATTGGAAAAATAAAGGTTCATTTCTAGGATGAAAGATCTCTAAGGTCCTTTTTCTACATGTAGCTGTAAAATTTAATATCTTTAGCTCATATGTCTATGAAATAATTCAACTACTATCATTCTGATGATTTCCTCGCCAGTTTTTTTGCCGATGTTCCAGAAATAGATAAGAACTGGGATTTGAGATCTGTTTTGGTTTAGGAGCCGTGAGACTTTCAAACAAAATCTCATCTCTCTTTGTTTTACACCTGAGCTTGGAATCTGTTAGAGTTCCAGCACATCTTTCTTACACAGAAGAAAACCTGACTGTC